CCCGTGTCTGTGGGGTTGAAGCTAACGGCGATGTGCGGCGCAGCCACCGCGGGGATTCTCGCAGCGCCCAACCCGTTGGCCCTGTGCCTGTACTCGGGCTGCCGACGCCTGGGTGTAAGGCCGCCTCTATCGCTTCAGACTGTTGCTGAAGTCGAGTTGGAGAGAAGGAGCTTTTCTCTCAGCAACAGGTGAAGAGCTGGCTGTTTGGATGGATGCTGGGAAGATCCTGTTAGGGAACGTGGACCTAATTGCTGGCCTTGGTATAGCTCTACTGGGAGAGAGCTATGCATGGTTTCTTTGCCAGCTGTTTCCCACCTGAGTTTCGGCAAGTACTGGCCGAGCTCTAGGCACCTTTGCCATCCCCAAGTCGTTCCACTTGGTGTCCTCTTGCATGCTGAATGAGGGCATTTCCTCCTCTTGCAGGTGGAATGTAAGGCGTAAGATGGAAAGATGTAAGGTGGAAAAAAGCACTCCGAAACGCTTTGCCCTGTAGGTGAAGCCTAGTACTGCTCAGCCTGTTTGACTGGGGTTCCCGATCCCCTTCAGAGGAAGTTTTGATTTTGTTTCATAGTCTTAAGCCGTGGTGTGCAGTAGATATCCAAGGGAGGCAACCCAGCAAATTGAAAAGGAGAGCCTTTGGGATAATTAGGTTGTGCAGTTTCTTATGGACCAATTAGTGAAGTGACAGGAAGCATAGTCTAATGTTTCTTTGCGCCTGATACCAAGGAGAGTAAGTGCTTTGGGTTATTATTTCTTTGAGATGACTTGCAGCATAGCTAACACTTGTGTGTACCTAAGAGCTTCTTAATAGGCTGCCTGCTTTAAGATAGTTTACTTACACCTATGAAACAGCATTTGATGCACTTGAAGTAACTCGGTGAGTGTCCTGTGGCATAATTCCTTAGACTGTCTTTTTCTTCCTTGTCTGCCACTGTCTTTTCCCATTAATGAAGGTTTATTTTTGTTTTCTTTTTGCTCACTACAAGTTGAGAAAGTAATTTATCTAGAGATTGGGTGTTGTTCAGGTGTTGTGGAGGGGGGATTTGGTTTGACTGTTCTACAAGTAAAGACCTGCAAACAGACAGGTACTGTCTTTGCTTTTGTTAATGTGTGAGGAGGAAATGGAAACAAAGGCTTAAGTGCTTCTTGCTGTCTGTGCCTCTTGCTGCTCTTGGTGTCCTCGGAAATAGTCTTCTGCATGAAGATGCATGGTCCCCTGTATTAGAACACCCTATTGTGAGACTTGAATGCTGTTTCAAAACTGCAACCAGTGTTCCCTTGTTGCATCTGATCCTCTATATGTTGTGTTTACTATATTCCCCACAATAAGCAAGCCTGGTGTTCTGTCTCAAAGCTGAACAATGCAGCAAGTTCCAGGTGGGCTCGATTTGTTAGTTGTCTAAAATAGGGATGCTAGCAGTTAGGTTTTACCACAAGTATTTTATTTTCCATTATCACAGGTCAGCTATACCACATGCCACTAACAGGACCAGAGAAGTCAGTAACCTTGAAGAGCCCCCTTCCTCCAACGTCCCAGATTCCAGGTCTTGGTGACCTTGCAAAAGCTCCCCATGAAGTGCCATCCAGGTGCCGCAGGAAGTGGATCAAAGAGACAGATTCAACTTATGTCAGGCTGGCAAAGCAAGGAGGCCAACCTGGTGGGTGTCTGTTTTGCTCATTTGGTTTTCCTTTGTTTTCCTTGGCTTTGCTTGGGTGTGGTGGTAGGAAATGCCTGTAGATACTACAGAAGAATCCTCTGGAGTTTTGAAGTTAAATGAAAATTTAATGAGCAATGTCACCTTGTCAAGACATCCTTGCAGTTTGTTGTGTATAGGTTGCTTTTATCAAAATGCGTAGTCTTGCACTGTGTTAGATCTAAGCAGATGATGACAGTTTAGTTCCATTTGAGTGTGGTCTTTACCATCTTTGCTTGAGCTATTTAAGTATCAGTCTGGTGAAAATGATGTCACAAAAAAGCCTCATCAGAGAACTTGGTAGAGGTTTATAAAGTGGTTTTTTTTTGTTTTTTTGTTTTTTTTTTTGTGATGATGTTCAGTTTGTTAGTGCTGTACATTTTTGTTCTTGTATCAAGGGGATCTGTGGTTTTGTTATTTCTTTTACCTAAGAAGGAAGCTTGAGGAACTTGAGCAGGTGGCCTGCATGTGCGCTCAGAGCAGGGTAACAAACCCAGAAATAAGAATTAACAGACCAGTAGAAACATGTCAAAGCATTTAGAGCAAGATAAACAAAGTACTAATGGAATGTAATGCTGCAAGGTTCTGACTATCCATTTTATGAAGGGAAACAAATGCTCCTTACTGAATAAAGCAAGTGCTTCTTCCTGATAAAACAGCAACCTGAAAACAAAGGTAATGCTTTTACAACCACATGAGAAGTCAGAAAAGTAGCAGCTTTTGTCTTTTTCTCTCAAGACCTACTGAAGCACTACACTGCTGTGACAAGTAAGTCCTCTCCAGTAGCATATGCTGCGCCTGACTGGTACTTGCACTGCTCCGATCCCCCAGCGACCAGTAAGACACGGTAAGTCTGCTGAGACCTTGCATAACTTCTTGGGTTCTCCACTTGTTAGTGTTTTAAATGCTTTTGTACTAAAGTGGAAGATACGTATCCCTTGTATAAACAAGTGTTAAATCTTTGCCTGCAGGAGCTATGTTTCCTCTCTACCAGATTATATAATTCACAGAGAGTTTAAGGCTGATGAACATTGTGGTAATCGTTATGAGATAAGAAGAGGTCCTTTTGATTTTGATACAAAAAGTGTTTGGCAGCGGGATGCTGAGGACAAAGAAAAGGCAGAGAAAAAGAAGGTATGATGGGGAGGCACTCTGTCACTTGCTTTGTTTGTAGACCTTGTGGTCTTCTAGCTGGGCCTGTGGGCCCTTATAGGAGCGAAGCTGTAGTCCACCCAAGCTTATGTATTCTGGAAACAATTTTTATATTGTAGTTAAATGAGAAGAAAGGCATGTTTCTCTTAAGTGCTGTAAGTGTAGCATAAGAAACAGAAGTGCAGTTTCCAATCACATTATGTGGTGCATATACTAAAGTGTGAAACAAAGCCAGTAGTTAGTTTCTATCTCCTTATGCTTTGTTTCCCCTACAGTTCAGTCTTGGTGAAAAGAATTCTTGCTAAGTAATCTTGGGGAAGAAGAAATGAGAAGGAGAAAGGAAGGGAAGAGTGTTCCAAAAAAGGAGTTGGTTTTAGTTTAAGATGCAAGAGAGACCCCAAAGAGACTGCACTAGCTGTCTTTGAATGGAAGATGTATCCAAGACAAAATATGTATAGCACAAGCTATGTCCAGAACAAACCTTTCTGTGGTGATCTTGGCATTTTGTCCAGGAAACCTCTCTCCTGTCTTCCCTCTTTCATCCTCCATGCTGTTGCCCATTTTAGAAGTTGAAGCCTTATGGTTTTATTAATATCTTCTGTAATCTTGGCTGTCTCATTTACTGTAGGTCTTTGGAGTATCCATGGAAAGGCATTTGATGTACTTGAACAGAGGGGAGGATGTTGCATGTTTTTGGAAAAAAAAGTTCTTAGCTTTTGCTGAGATGAGTAACTAGTGCAAATTCAGAATGATGGTGTGTGCAGATGGGAACACCTCATTACTGAATAGGTTAGGGAATGTTTACTTAATCTGTGGAAACAGGCAAATGAGCAATGTATGCTTACACTATAATATGCCTGGTGCTTGTAGGTGAATCTTTTTTTCAGAGATTTAAGGCACTGAAAATGGAAACTTGGCTTGCCATGGGGTCTCTTAAAAGATTGAACTAATATCTTCAGTGCTCTAAAAAGTCAACCTTTGGTAACCATAATTCAAGTCCATGTGGTGACTGGTAAAGTGAGACTGAGGTCCATTTCTGTTTGTGTGGATTGTGATAAAGACACAGTTTCATTCAGTCATGTGAATGAAAGTTGCCATATGTTTTATTTATCACCATATAGAAAGTGAAAATATGTTATATATTCAGCTCAGATTCAAAATCTGCTGAGGCCCTGATATATAGTTTACACTGCTCTTCTGGAAGCTGAAGTTGATTTTTTCTGAGGTACTAAATCTAGCAAATCTTTTTCCTTAGGATTACGTGCCTGACAAGGCAGATTCTGTGTCTCTAGCTTTAGCTTTACCTTTACCTCCACACCACCACCTCTGGAATGGTTGTCCTTCATAGTACCTTTCTTGTACCTTGAAAAGTGTCTTGTATATCTTGAAACATCGCATGATGCTTCCTCCACAGCTGCTTCTTGTACCTCCTTTTGCAGGAGCTTTCTATCCTGTGCTTTCAGAACCTGTGCTTTCAGACTACCCTTCTGAAGAGTCTTCAAGTGAGGCAATGGATCTAGCCCTGTCAAACAGTCTTGACTTTATTTTTCTTACCGTACATGTTGCATGTTGAAATGCAAGAGATGTATTCCAAAACACACAAATTTCTAAGGAATATTCAATTAATTCATTTGACTATGTGATTATACTGCAGCAGCAAACTACCTCAACTATTGAGGCTGAACACACTGAAAATATTTTTCAGTCTAGTCTGACTAAGCAGTTGCTCAGAAGACACATTCATGATGCAGTCATGGAGATAAATCCCACAGGGTGCCCGTAGGGACAAGTGCAAAAACATTTTAACCTCTAAGGGTACCTCTTCAACTCAGTTTGGAAAACATCATTCCCAAGTGAGGCCTTCCTTGCTCTGGAACTTTAAGCCTTTATGCCACTTTGTTCTGAAGTATTAGCATCTCCACAGTTCCTCGTATTATGGTTGTCAGTGTGCAGAGGAGATCAGGAGGACCATTACATGATTCTCTGTGCCTTGGGATGGGTCCTGTACTTCCTCCCTAATACCTTAATCACAGGGATAATTTTAATTCTTCTGGGAATTTTGCAGCAAAATGCTGTAAAGAGGCCTTAGTGCATGAAGGATTTAGCCTTTGAGCTCATGGCAACATGATGATCTACTAGCCCAGGTGGAAGCATCCTTTTGCTTATGTATCATATGAACCAGCTGGGTTGGGCTGAAAATGCTATGACCTTAAGAAAAAGGCAGATCTGTGTATGGGTGAGAGATTGTAGGAAGGTTGTATCATGGTTAACATCAACATTAGGCAGTCTTCCTGCAGCATCAGGATTATTACTTCATGTCTGAAGGAATCCCTTTTAGTCACTTGCCTGAAATGTATGTGTATATACACATACGTATATATGTATGTGCTGTAGCAAAAGATTTACTCATCTGAGGTCTGCATTTTACCTTGGAGAGAGATTTGGAATGTAATCTAGCATTTTTCCCTTGATTGCAGGGGAGCCAGGACTTGATCTGGAGGCTTTTAGCTTTCCATGTTAGCAGCAGGTATCTGTTGTTGTTCGTATACCAGCCAGGCACAATACATATCACATTTCATGTTTCTTGAATCTGAGAGTAATAAATGTGTATGTATAATAAATGTAGGTAGTAATTTTTAGGGTACGTCACTGCCATCTCTTCGCAAAGAGAGAAAATGCTTTATAAACTGAGAGCATGCAAAAAATGTCTTACATAGTTTGCTTTATCTAGGTAAGTTGTTGGCTGTAAAATAGAGGATTGTAAAAGTGAAAATGCCTCCTCAGCTGTAATTGTTGGGGTGTGGTGGGACAAGGGTCTGCTTTTAATGCTGAATTTGTAACAAAGCAAAGTAGCAAACAGCACCTGGCAGGATTGCAGGTGCCCTCCAAAGCCAAATTCTGATCTGTTCCCTTGCTCCTTTTGTCATTCATCAGCTGATTTGACAGTAGAGAATGTTTTGATACCTGCAATTTATGCTAGTCTGTCTCATTTAATATCAAGAAAAGAGAGAGGACATGTTAAACAATATGACAGACATGGTAGCAGCCTTCAAATCTTTTCTCATTGCCTTTTTTTTTTGCTTGACTTTAGTTTGAGAGTTTGGCCTTTGTCTATCTTTAGTCAAAAATCTCTTTATGCTTCCCCCCTCTCCCTGCCTTTTAATTAACTTTTTAATTATTAGACTTCCTTTTCTAGTGCTTCTTTTCAATGCCAAGAGGAGTCTCTTGGCATTGTATCTTGCCTGTCAGTTTTTCTGTGTTGCCCTGTGTGCCATCATGCCTTCAATATGTGACAAAAGTTACCAGAGTTTGGTGATTTCTACTTGTCTTATTAAATTGCTTATATAAGTTGAAACTAATAAGTAACTGGCCTGGATCTGAAACTTCCATGGTATGTCAGATCTGAAATGGTGCAGTTTAATGGTAGATTGAAGACAGTACTGTCATTTTTTGCACAATAGGATACCATTTCTGAAATATAAAGGACATAGGCTGCTACAGCAGAGAACAGTGTTAGTGGATTTGAAAAGCAGTTCTGAATAACTAAAGCATTTTTTAACCTCCAGGTTGGACAACAGACTCCCCTCTTCATCCAACATCACTGCATGCTCTTGCTAGTGTCAGCTCTTCTTCTTTGTCAAGTGTCCCAATTTTTCATCTTTTTAAGCTTACACATAACATCAGTCAGTCTGAAATCTGACAACCTATCCACTTATTCTTTACTAGATTCTGGAACTTTTCTTTGGGTGAAATTCTGTTTCCATTGAAGTCTGTAGGGATTTCAGCACTGACTTAACACATTGGTTTACGTAGATGTCATGGTTCAGAATCAGTAGAACTGTCTGTCTTAGGCTTCACTTTCTTTCAGAAAATAATAAAACTTACACCCTCTGAACATTCAGGTCTGCTTCTTTTAGTGGCTTCTTAATTAGCTCACTGATAAGATGTACTCAAATACCATTATACTTTTCTTTGCTCTCTTTTCTTAAATGTGCACAGGCTCCTTGAGCAGCGTGTGGTGTGTTTACATCTACTTTGGAATCTTCTTCTCATGGATGTTTTCATGGGAGTTGTTTTGTGGTGTTTGATAACGGTGCATCTAACTTTTGCATTCTGTTCATAATTTTTTGCTCTGTTAACTGTGTTGCAGTAGGTATGTCGATGTAGGAGGAAAATATCTTTATCCTTAATGTATTTTTAGATTTACAGAGCAATACATTTCACTTCCAGTTTCTCTGTCCTGAATTTTTAAAATAACCTGCAAGTAATATCTCTTATCTGACTGGGATGTTTTCGTACACAGCATACAGAGAAATGAGCCAACATAAGAGGTTGCAATAGGTAAGTTTAAATTTGAAGCTTAACTTAGGGTAGAGGTGTACCGAGAGGGGAAAAGCTTGTGGAGAGCACATTTTGCTTTATTGACATACGGAACAAACAGCTGATCTCATCTAGAATAACTGACTAAGGTTCTGTGTTATCTTTTGCTATTTTTTATGGCCCTCTACTCTTACTTGAGGAAATAATACAGATAAGATAATGAAATTTGACAAGACTTGGGGCCTTTAATATATCCTTCACTTTTGAAGGTTATGTTATCATACAATCTTGGTTATTTTTATCATAACTCCTTTTATTAAGTTTTCTCTAACACAGGTAAAGCTCCCAGCTATAAATCCTAAATATCCAAGCAGAATGCCAAATGTTTCTACGAACAAGGAATTTAGCGGGGAAAAAAAGCTTTCCTTCCCACCTATGTAAGTAGTATGCTTCTGAAATTTATTAAACTCCTAAGCCTGCATGTATTCATGCATGCAAGTAATATTACTATTTGTGAAAGTGCAGATTAGTGGCTATGTGTATGGGCTTTATGGATCCTTACTGCTACTAAACTTGCTATTATCTGTGGTGTTTTAGTTGTTTGTAAAACTATTTTAGTAATAGCACTTTAACTCATACAGAAAAGCTATTCAGTTTAACTTTGCTTTAGGAAAACTATGCGTACGGTTGCATGTCTTCATGTAGCATGCTTTTATTGTACTCTAAATTGTCTGGGTTTTGTCTTCAATGCCAGTGTACAGGTTCAAACAATAATGTAAGTTGTTAGTTCTGTAAGCTGGGTTACAGACACACAAGTGGGACTACTATTTTAAGAAAACACATAAACTGTAGCCTGTATAAGAACAGTCACAGCACTGTAATGAACATGGAAGATAAGTCTTTTAAGCAAATTACGTCACCTGTGATGTGATGTAGTCACATCTGCTGTGTGCGAAACTGAATCGTTCCTGCGTTCTTTGTCTTAAAAATTGATTGCGCAGTCATCAGTAATCCCAGTATGTTTTAGAAATATATTAATGATGCAAAACAAATTATTAAACTGTCTAATGAGCAAATCCGTGACAAAACTGCACCTTTGCGCAGCACATAATGAGTATTGTCAGCCTTTTCTGCTTACACGTTCTTTGTGTGATTCTCATTTTTCACTTTATTTCCCCTCTTTAGACCAGAACTGTGTAAGTATTACATGTGTAAAATTCCAGTGAAATGATGGCTCTTCTCATGTAAAAACAACACATTAGTGAATCAGGTGTAGTTGTATGCTTTGGGTTTATTTTTATTTAGTTTGGCTTTGTTTTGTTTGTTTTGGTGTGGTTTTTTTTTTTGCGTTTGGGTTTTTTTTTGTTTTTCCCTTTGATTATTACATGTGGAATATGTTTAGTTATTTATATAATTATAAGGCTTTCTGTGCAAAATGAAATTTTCGCACCCATTCCACATTTTTGCTTACTTACACTATTGTTTTCCTTAATATATTCGGATTTACAGGCCTGCTCAGAGAAAAAGTGAAGCAGTAAACTTTAGCAAATTAATTAGCAATGGTTATGGGACTGACTGGCTTCAGCAGCATACCAGAAGGGACAAAAAGATTCAAGAAATACCAGAAAATAGTGATCAGTCCAAAGGTAACATTTTTGAAAGCTGGTTTTTTAAAGTGAATTGCGATCTCAAGGTAACAGCAGAGGGCAGCATGAATCATTTCTGTGGTTGTCTTCGGATATGGTGAGATAACTGAATTACTCTGCTTAGCTTACAATTCCCTATGAGAAGCTAAAGAGAAGAGTGCTCCTGTTTCTAGTCAGTGAAGGCAGGGACTTAATGGATTTTTTCATCTTTGCAATTGCAGAAGTATGCTCAGTTCTAACCCAGGAGTTTCTGTGTTTTTGTAAAATGTTGCAAAGACACAACCGTCCTTTGCCTAAATTTAAGCAAAATAAAATATTTGTTGCCTATTCGTTGTGAATTGTCTTTGGCCCCTAATATTTTTCTGAAAACTGTTTTGTCAAATGTCATTGATACTCGTGTTTAAGAAATAGAGCACTGTTCATAAAAATTGGTCAAAATACATATGTATGTGCATTGTTAAAGACAGTAGCACGCAACAGTTTTATTAGAGAGAAAAAAGTTATCCGTACTATCTCAAGCCTTTCTTTGTCATGCACAATGGCCATAACTATGAAAGACATCATCTGAAAACACTTAAGGAGAACGATTAAAGGGTGGGAAATTCCCCTTACTTCTGTCAAAGACCTTTTGCTTAGACTTTTTACAGTGGCTTGGTAACCATGGAGGGTATATCAAATTCCTATAGCAACCTTTTAAAATGCTATTGAACAAAGAGGTTGCAACCTCTAGAATTTTATTTATTTTTTGTTTGTATCACTGAATGCTTTCGTATACACTAGGGAATGCCGTGACTTCCTTGACCTTAGTATATCAATGTGTGAAAGTCATAGAGGACAGTTAATTTACTTTATGTGACACCTGAGCACTTCCTGAATTCATTGTGTCTTCCATCAATACAGCTACAGTAATTTTGTTATTGTGTGTGTTTGCTGGACCTCTTCCTCCAGATGAGTATCAGAAGAAATCAGGCAAACAAAACTAGAAGTTGTGTGTTATTGTTCAGAAGAAAAACTGGTATAAAACTAAGGGATGAAACCAGATCTCAGTCGGGACCTGAAAGAGGGTTCATGACTTTGAAGAGTGGCTTCTCAGGTTAATTTAAGTATCCAAACTCTGGTCATGCAGAGATGCTGCCTTAGGAGGTGCAATGACCTAACAATTCAACTGTGGAGCCTAAAAGGGCTCTTCCTTAGCATGAAAGAAAATCTTCATTATTCTTTTGTTTTCAGATGCTATTGAACTTTCTTGTCCCTTTCTTTTCCATTATCATAACATTAAAGGATTTTTGATTTTGAAACCTCAAGTTCATTCGTTTAGTGATAGTTGATTTCTTTAATGTGAAGTGTGCCTCTAATGGGACATTTGGTGTATAAAGAAAGCTGAAGGTTTTTCAGAGTAATATTGCATACTGGTTTGATTATACCACCTATTCATAGAGGCCAGAATGATGGGTATGTTGTAAAGACTGCTGAAAAGCCAGTGTGCTGCATAGTTGAATATATAGATACATCTTATTTTTGAGATGATTTTCTTTTACAAATTCTTAGATAATACCTCCTGCTTTGCTTTTACTGCCCTCCTTTGTCAGTCATAGCTATTCCAATTGAGATAGATTCTGTATCTCAATGTAGAAGGAAATTTTTGTTTTTTTTAAATGTTCTTAACACTGTGGTTTCATCCAGACATGTACTTTGATTCAGTTTTGACCTTTTTGTTCTTTCAGGTATGTGCTGAAGGTGGTGCTTGTATTTTCCCACTTGTAGTTTTGTCTGCTCATCCAAAGCAATTGGCAGCATGAGCACCTTGCAGCTCCCGGTTGAGATGGAGCTTTCTTGGTTATCTCTTGTGCAGGATAAGTCCAGGACATCAGACAGGAGATACATCCCCTTCTGTATGTAAATCTATAACCTATGTGTGCTGGGTTACAGATTTACATCGTATGTGCAAACCTTGTAGGTAGCTTCTCTATCTTGTTAGCTAAAACTTAAAAGTACTGGAATTTGTATGCATTTTGATGCGAGAGAGAAACTAAAAATTTTAGTTGACCTTTTTATTCTTACAGTTGAAGTTATCTGAAGAACTTTAATCTTTTTTTTCATTGCAGATTCAGAGCCATCAGAGTCTGAATCAGCACCTACAAGCAACGAGTCAAAGCCACTGCCAAGTTAGGATATATCCTTAAAATCCCATGAATAATTGAATATTTATTATAAAGCCCTTTAGAAAGTGGATGCAATTTCAATATTATATTTTTTGCTAATATTATGAAAAGTGAAGTTTCTTAATAAGTAAATGGTAATTTTTAGTCTTCTTTTCAGAGTGCACTGAGTACCTTGTATACCTTTGAATCCAAGAGCTGAAGATTTTAAAATGTATAACTGAATATACATTTATTTGAGCAGAATGTTTAGAGGATTTCCCTTAATATTGCTTTTCTTTAGAACCTTGTTATGAAAATTGATTGGAAATAGGTAAATCTGTTGCTAATCTGAACCCTCAAAATTTTCAGTGAAAGTTTTACTGTTGTTGTTAGACCCAGCATCTGAGTCCATCTTTGTTCATTATAACCAATAATTCAACTAAGTTGTATTTACAAAAATAAAAGTCTAAAACATATGACAATACCTGAAAGTACAGTTATTGGTTAATCAGCAAACCTTTCCAACTATTAAAAAAGCTTACATCAAGCTGTATCTGGAGAGGAGGAGGGAATTACTACCTTGAATCTGTTTTCACTCACGATTTGTATTGTGGATTATGTCCAGATACATTGAAACCATTAATTTTGCTGTGAAAGCTGAGCTTTTGGTGAAATCTACAGTTCCAGGCCAGAGTACCAGTGGATGCCAGACCTGGAGCTCAGAGTATTGAAACCTGGCAAGTAGAAAACTGTCACCTGCCATTATAGAGAAGCACTGAAGAATAAGATTGTGTGAAGAAGTAACAGTGTCCTGGGTTCATCTGTTACAGTTATTTTTCTCCTTAGTAGCTGGTGCAGTGCTGTGTTTTTGACTTTAGTCTGATAACACCACCAATAACACACTGATGTTTTCAGTTGTTTCTAAGTAATGCTTAAAAACAAACAGAAGACTGTTGATACCCTTAGGTTTTCAACTATAAAATTTTACACCTAATACAGTAATAGCCAGAGCTGCATGATATTCTCCAAAAATAAAAGTACCATTTTACAATTTTATATCAGAATTATTCAGTCATATAAGCATACCTTATTTGGGAATTCAGCTATCTTTATTTGATAGTCTTTGGATAAGGTTATCATTTTTATTTTTCATATCTGTAAGAAAAGTGTAATAGAGGGCTGGGTTTGTTGTGCCCATCAGTGGTAAACTGCAACAGTAAAATACTTTCTGTGTATGACAGCCTTTATAGCATACTTTAAGGTATAACTATCAGCAATAGTACCACTTTACAGTCTCATTTTTATCTTCTGACTTCCATTATAGGAAAAACTTCTTTTGCAAATGCTATTTGCAGTTACATGATTTACTGGCCAAAACATGAAAGGAAGGGGAAATAATAGGTGATGATGAAACTCTCTGGAGTTAAATTGCTTTGTGGTAAGGCAGCCAAGTGTGTGTGGGAGGGGATTTATGTTCATCCATTGGATAAGGAGGTTTTTTGCTCTTAAGCATATATTAAATCCATTTCAGTCTCTTTTGTAGAAAGTTTCCTGAAAGGTGTTTAGTACAAATGTACTGGTAAAGTTGGAGACAGTTGTTATGACCAAAAAAACCCCAAACAACCCCAAATAACATGGGTATTTAAAAATATTTACAAATTTATAGATCACCTGTTCACATAGACTTGAAAGTGCTTGCTGTGCTGAAGCCCTGAAAATCTATTCCATAACGTAAGAATTCCTGTGTGGCTGCAATACTGCTGGCATGCAAACAAGAATTCTAATCATTCCTTTCTATGTTATAGTCTCCTTTTCTCAGTAAGATTTATACAAAGCTTCCTAAAGTGAATTTATTACATTGAGCTTTTTGATATCTAAGTCCTCTTTACTTTTGAACATTTCTTCCTCAATATTAGAGTTCTTGTTCAAAACTGTCAGATTGTTAGGCAATTGTTAAAGGCAGAGATAGAAAGACAACTGAGATCCCAAAGTGGTCCCTTAGCACTGTTATTTTGCTTTATTGTAGTTGTGGTCTTAGAAGTGTTTATGTTGCTGGTTTTCAGATATTTTAGAAGTCTGCACCGAATATTGTAAAAATTATCTCCTTTTACCTTAGTTACTATTAGGTAATACCCACATGACATTCCTAAATCCTTAAAAGTTTACTTATGTGCCGTTAATGTACACTCAGCTTTCCTTAGTCAAGCCAAGGAGAAGTTGATCTGCACTGTCAGTCAACTGAGTCTTCATGGATCACAGTTTGACTACTATGAGATAGAATGTTAACAGCCTAAGATTTCTCTTTGTAAGAGCAGGTGGACACTCTGGAGTTCTTGTTTGTGAATTCAGGATAGTGCAGAGCTGCAGCAGAAGCATAACTTGCCAGTTCTCCAAGAGTTGTGAAATCAAAGTAGTGTAACAAATCACAAAGTCCCAACTGGAGGATGGAAATTTGTTGCTTGAGTTCACCTTACACCAGTAATTATGCTGTTTTATTTACTTGTGTTTAATGCAGTCATGCTGCTGGCAGTTTTTAAAGTCATCAGCAGTTCCATGTAGCAGCAGTGGAAGCTTCTGGGTCTGGAAGGGTTTTCAATGTTTGTTTTTCAGTGGGATGCCAAAGTCAAAAGCTGGGCAGTTTCTTACAGAATCTAGCCATATTGTTTTAAATGCTGAAACATTTATTTAGTTGTGTTATGCTCTATTTCTGACCTGAATGCCTTTAAGTAAGAAATTATCTCACTTATTATTTTTGAATACTGATTGATTTGCAAGCCCAAAGATAGAACAAAAGTGCAGTTGCATTTTGTGAATTGCACCCAAGTATACTGAATATGTGAATATTTTTAAAAGAGAATTTCAGATATAGATTTAAAAATAACTTGGCAGTTTAGGTACCAAAGAGTAATTTTCCTTTTACATGCAACTATTTTTCTGTAGCAGAGTCTAATGGCTGTTTTCATTTTAATGTGACCGAATATATACTTCATTCTTACCACTTATGTCATCTTAGACTCGACTTGAATATAAACATGTTTTCAGAGATCAAGGGTATATATGCATTAACTTTGTGTAGCAATGTAAACAACAATTGAATTGCCCATGCATTTCTTAAGCATCTAAAGTTTCACTGATTCAGCATATCTATTTCTTAAATATTTGCATCCGCACTGAATAATGTGGACTTAGTTGTAAAAGATGAAGGATGAAGCCTGATTTTTTTTTTTTTTTTTTTTTTTTTTCCCATGAGGAGCCTAATGTTCTGCTTTTACAGTTCTCTGCAGGTTATTTTTCAGAATGTAGTTATGTATTATGCGATAGCCTGGAAAATAAGCTAGAAGTAGAAATACAGAAGTTCAGTCTTAACATGTTTTGTCCTCCTATCAATAGTATTGATACTAAACATCCAGAATGACTGAAGAACCAAAATATAGTAGTTAAGTATCCAGACAGCTGCACTGAATTATTTGACCAATTGACTATAAAGATGGTAAATGGTGAGCAGGAAGGAGTATACTTATTTTAAATACTACATTGTTACCATTGGCTGGTGCAATGGCCAAGTAAACTACTGGTCAGATAACTTGTGTTCTCTTTCCAATGAAATTTTCCAGACTTACGTAGTGGTCTTTGTATTAGCACTTGTACTTCTCAAGTAGAGGAAAATGTTGTGATGCTGGAACCTGATGGGATCCACCTGTCCGAGTGGGTCAGGTCTTTAGACATGTGTCTTCGTAAGTAAGCTGGTGGGACTGATTGAGAGGGCTTTAAACTAAAACAGTGGCGGAAGGGGATACTAACAGGATTGCTGAAGGTAAGCCAAAGGTTGACATGGTATTGCTTGAGGGTGACAATGCTAGTGAGAACACTTACACTGCTCATGGGAGCATGGGGGGCTCAGGAGCGTATCTGAAATACACATACACAAGACATGCAGTATGAGAAAAAAACAGGATGAACTGGAAGCATTGGTCAACTCCCAGAGCTATGATATCATTGGTATTAGAGACTTGGTGGAATGAGTCCCACAGCTGGAGTGCTGGGATGGAGGGCTGAAGGGCAGAGCACCAAGAGTTCTAGTGAATGTGGCTACACCTGGCTGGGTGCAGGAGTTGAATGCAGCATTATTAGTAAGTCTGGTGATGACACCAACTGGGAGGTGCTGTTGACTCTCTTGAGGGACAAGAGGCCTTGCAGAGGGATTTAGATAGATCAGAGCAGTGGGCAATGATTAATGGGGTGAAATTTAACGAGCTGAAATGCTGGATTCTGCACCTAGGAGAGAGTAACACTGGGCACAAGTATAAATGGGGAGAGGAATGGCTGGAGAGCAGCGCTGCGGAAAGGGATCTGGGGGTGCTGGTTGGCAGCAGGCTCAACATGAGTCAGCAGTGAGCCCTGGCAGTGCAGAGGGCAAACTGCAACCCGGGGTGGCTCCCAACACGCCTGCCCCAGCTGGTCAAGAGGGGTGATGATCCCGCTGTATCCAGTGTTGGTGCAGCCTCACCTTGAGTTCTGGGAGCAGTTCTGGGCCCCACAGTTTAAGAAGGATGTGAAGGTCCTTGAAGGCATCTAGAGGAGGGCAACCAAGGTGGTGGAAAGGCTGGAAGGCATGTCCTGTGAGGAGCAGCAAAGGACTTTGGGCTTGCCTAGTGTGGAGAAGAGGGGGCTGAGGGGCAACCTCATTGCTCTCTACAGCTCCCTGAGGAGAGAGAGCGGAGAGCTCAAGTGAAAGATGTGCACTTACAGACAGGCTGTATGAATATACATTTAGAAAGACCGGTATAGACACCAACATCCACGCACACTAACTGTGCTCCTCGGGGGTGCCAGCATGTGCTTATCCTATGTACACGTGTGTTATCAGGTCATCCTCGGCGCCTCGAGGCACATCTCCCGAGGAGCGGCCGGGCACCGGCTCTCGCGGCCAGCCCCTCGCC